CCTGTGCTAGCTCGGTGTGTTTCAACACACAAGCAAATCTCAGGCTCTACTGTGCTACCAAATCAATCATCAATCAGACTTAAATGCTGGTTTGTTGGAGACAGACTGTTTAATTAGGAGCAGGCGACTCATCGTAATTGATCTGCAACTCGGAAAAGACAATTGCACGAACTTGCTGGATAAGGTTGTAAAACAGGTCCCCTTGGAAAAAGAGAGATGACATTCCAAACCTGCAGTGCAGTGGCAAGCGCAGATTGCGCAGTCTGCGATCACAGCTAAGTGGCAATGGATGGTTTGTCTCTGTTGTCTTTCAAATAGAACAAAGTAGCCAAGGAACAACCCAGGCAAGTCTCCAATTCTTTTCAAAGATATCTCGGAGCAATGGTTGATTTCATGCCTGAATTCTGTGCTTAAAACTAAACACATCAAACTAAAAAAACCTGCGAGATTTACTGATTCAAGTGGCACGAACAAGGATCTACTGATACTCATAGCTGAGGGCAGAACAGAAGGCATCCCTGTCGAGAAACCTCATTGCTTGGGCGAAGGCTAATGTCCGGTAGCAACCAATGTTTGCGTAACTTGCACAGCAAGCTTCAGCAAACAAATGAAAACACATGTTGGCAAAAAAAACACCTCAGGCATCTGCAAGAATATTGGCAGGGGAAGATTGTCCAACCATCTTCAACATAGCAATGTTTGCGCTGGCACTGTCGCAAACAAACGTCAGCGCTGTGAGCTTGGCATGTTCAGCCACACCTAGAGAAATCAGAAAGTAAACATTCATTTAGTCAGGACATGACCAATCAGTGCGGATGCTCAGGACTTGACCAAAAGGTTCCACAGGCTGCTTGGATTTGATGGCAGCCCACAAACAAGGAGCTGTCTTCCGCTTCAAGACTGATGGAGGATTCACCACCTGCAGCCAGAGCTGCGCTTTGAAACTTGAGGGCTATTGATATCTTATAGTGAACCGTGAACCAACAAACTAGTTCCAAAGACACCCCAACGCGACATGATCACACTGTGATCACACAAAGAACTGCACTCAAAACTCTGAGACAGCTGCAGTCACTCTTTGCGCGCGGTCAGATCCGTTCGAGGAGAAAAGCGTAGTTCTGCATACCTTAAGACTGTGACTCTGATTCCTGCAATTAATACAATGACGCTGCAAAATGGAAGTGGAGAGTTCAACAATTCAATTCAACTTTTAAGAAGTCAGTTGGGTCCCCCACCAAGACAGACAGTGTGGTTGTTGTTGTATGCATATCTTGTCGGACTTGGAGTTTCTGTCCAGTTTCATCAAACTCTATGTGGATGCCCTTCGCTGCAGCTTGCTCCTAAGCTCAACGTTTTATCGGATCAACTATAAACAAACTGAAGTTCAAATGCGACTGGTTGTTTGAAGCTGAACGATCAAGTTTGACTTCGCTACAGCTGAAGTTGAAGCTACTCAAGCGAAGCTGGTTGGCAGGCCTGTTGAAAGGCTACGCTGGCCTCTCTTTGCGTCTCCAAATATAAGAGAGAGACTGCGCTTCTTGCCTCGCACAGCAAAGCATCAATGTGCTTTTGCTTCTTGCCTATTGCTTATTGCAACTGGTTGAAGATGATAATTGAAGTATATTTGTTTAAACAAATGTATATATATATACACAGCATACAAAAATCAGCAGGTTGATCCTGCGCAAGCCTTTGTGATCGTCGTGGTGGAACTCCCCATCCAATAGGCCAATGAGTTGAGCGAAAACCTGGGCTTGTCACATTTGCCATGGTGCATTCCTTGGCCTTGAGCTACAAAGGAAGTAGGTAGTAGGAACTGATGTACTAGGTACTAGAAGTACGACGCGTGTAAAGCCATCTTGCTCATTTTGCCGATAAAGAATCATCACTGGCGATTTGGCCTTCATCTTCGCTAGCTTCCCGCCTTTGCCAATGATATCCTGAAGTGATCTCCCAAGCCTCAATGCGAATCACGATTGGATTTGCAAATTGGGTATTTGCAACATAGAACTATTATATTTTTAGTGCATCACATCTGACCTTTGGATGTGTGATGCTGGCTTTGTCATGTTGAGCTTCTGGCGATACCCTCAAGATTGTGGCAGACGTCCACGACTTGTATTGGCCTCTGCGTGCAAAGCCTACACCCTTTGTGCTCACTCTTCGCGTTTGTTTCATTGAAGTCTAGTCTATAGTCTTGTAGTTCCCCTTGATTTAGAAGAGCAGCGCTCTGATTCTGCTTGTCTGTGGAACACCTATTGGTTGAATTGAATTGATCGACTGAGAAACAACTGGACTGTTGACATGACATCAGAATGACTGGTCTGCCTTTGCCAAGAACACGTCCAGGTTTGAGAACGTCAGAGCACTGACTGACCTGGATGACATCATTGTGGCACACTGCATTGTTGCGATTGTACTTGCCGATTTGCTTCCTCAGAAAAAATTGCTGAGACAGGCGGCCAAACACACTATTCCAAGTTTCATCGACTACTTACTTAGTTACTGGCTATTCCTGGCTTCAGCAAAACAGAAACTTGGTCCTGACATGCTTGAACCGCTGTTCAAAGAGCCGTCGAATCCTGCAGACTTTTTTTCCTGCATCCAGGAAAGATATGAAGGGCAAAGAGGACAAGGGGACATGACAATGAATGACAACCAAACGACATCGAAATCAAACTCCCCCTCCTGCTCTGGCTACTGCCATTCTGCTTCGGCCATCAACATTCCGTGCCCCCAGAGCACGAACATTGCGCTGCAAGACATTGCCCAACAAAGCCGCCACATTCGGTGGCATTGCTAACTACAATAAAAGTTGGAAGTTGGAAGTGCGTTGTTTTTGTGTGGTTGCAGTGATTACAGGGTTCCGTTTACATGTTGGTTGAAGTTCAAGTTGAAAGTTGAAGGTTCAGCGTGACCCTAAGTGAAGGGAAGTGTCTAAGCAACCTTCTGGTGGGTGTGTGGTGTGCGTGGAAGATGGCTGAAGGCTTATTGAAGGTTGAAATGTTCTAATGCTTGCAGTTCTGGATTATATACTGGTAGCCGGTAGCCAGGGCCAGCAGAACAACACCCAGCAGATGTAAAAAAACAATTGCACTTCTTGGTAGTACAGTACATTCACAAACTTGAAAAACAAGTTCAAAGAGTGCCTGTAAACCGCAACTCCAAATTCCTTGAAGAGTCAAGTCAACAGAAGAATGGCCCAACTGCCCCATACCGGCGCTGGTACCATTGCCCCCTATAGCATATAGCATCGCACCTGCACCTGCGTCAGTCAACACCCCACCCTCGCATCTGCGGCTGCGTCAGTCAACACCCTACCATCGCACCTGCCCCCGCACCCTCGCACCCTACCATCGC